TAAATAACGAATACCTCCATCGCATCCCCATCACAGGTAAAAAAGCATTGGAAAAACTATCCAGGCTGCGTCTGGGAAGGTATCCCGGCCGCGACAATCTGAGACCAACAGCCCTGAAGAACTGCACCGTGGCAATCGTAAATCTAGCATTCAAACCATTCGGACGCCCGTTAGAGTCATGCAGAATCCCCGTGGAGTAAAAGGGCGCGATCTTATCACCCATTTTTAAGGAAGGAGGTGGACAAAGTCCTAGCGGTTAAGGATCGATCACCCACTCCATATTCTGTCCAAAGTATTAGAAAGCCTAATGGTCGAAGAGATCCGAAGACTCTTTACCAAGAAAAACTGCAGCTCAGCCTGACCTTCCGAGTGATCATTCATCTACTACCAACTAGCTGATTTCCTGGGACGACTGGACGTTTGGCTGGGACAACAGAAAATCAGTACACGTTACCTCTTTTGACCTGGCTAATGCATTTTCAGTGTCCTAGCAGCAGCACTGCTCCACAAGATACTGTCGCCCGGTATAAGCGAACCCATACTTCCTTGATTCAAGGTGTTCTTAGAAGGTAGGTTGTTCTGCGCTTTGGTGAACAGAATGGGCCAGGAACGGAGGCTATCGACGTCGGAGGTATCGCAATAGGCAATCCAAGGGTCATATCTGCTCCTTCTGTTCGTCAACGACTTGCTATACCAGGTCTCACTAACCATCCTCCACTTCTGCTGTGACGTCAAAGTCTTCAGGGTAGTAATTGAAGAGGCCAACTGCACAGCACTACACAATGGCACGCACCAACTTAAGTTGTGGTCGGCGCGAAACGGCTTGGGCTTCAACCTGAGTATGTGCAAAGTAATGCCTATCGGTACCCACGAAGCAAAGACGAGCGAATTCCAATGGAACTTGGGTATCCTTGCTGTCACCAAAGCATCCATGGCCAAGGATTTAGGACTCAACTTCTCTGACAACCCAAACACTAACTGTGGCTGCGAAGAAATTGTAGTCAGGCAGAAAGCCATTTTACGGTTCCTACGTAGACGGCTTGGTCCTCTCGCCCCTGAACTGCTTCATTTTTCGAATCTTAGGTACAGCCACATCTTAAGGTCTTCATCACGGCAGCACGCTAATACTCGAAGACCACTCCAATTTCCTCTAGAAACTATGGAGATGGGCGACAGAATCAGTTTTAGGCCTAAGAGAAAGGGAGCATGTCCCAAAAGATCGGAACACCGTGATTTACCCACTTTAGGGAGGGCAGTCTCACTATGGACCACAAGGCCTTCACGAAGAGACCCCATCAAGATAGCACATCCAAGAGCTAACACTAGGCTCCGGTCTAAATTTTTATTTTTATGGTATCCCTTACCGTGAAACGTAGTTATGGCCCCCTCAATAGGCTCACTCAAGGTACCTTTTTTTGCACGATTTACCGAAGAAGTAACCAGGGAGTTACTAACCTAACTAACTCGATAGAACTTCCTTCCTACTTACCACTCACCAACTCTGTCATTGATACGCTTACATTATTTACTACCTCTTATCTAGCAACTGGCCCAATATTGTCATCTACTTTTGCCTTTCGTGCAATTCCCATAAGCCCTTTCCCAGCATCTTGCTGTTTACGTTCAGGCACATTTACAGACAGGAGCCACGAAATACCGCCTGTCTTCCTAGCAGCCCGTAGCTCTCCAATCAGTCTGCGAATTGTAACTACCGGCCCACAAAAACATTCGCCTCATAGGCGCTAAAGGTAGGGAAGCAGAAGAGATTTCCTCGTCCATTGCAGGTGTAAACCGAACAAAATGAACCGGGCCCAAAGAACTGGATGCGTTTCCGATACGTAGATGATACGTTTACAGTAATGAAATCAGAACTTATCATTAGGTTCTTGGCACATATGAATTCAGTAGTGAATACAAGCAAATTTACCTATGACTTAGACAGTGAAGAAGGTGAGATAGCAATGTTGGATTGCGAGATTAAAGGAACACAAGAAGGAAATCTAGAAACTACTGTCTATAGGAAACCTACCCATTCGAATCACTACCTAGACTTCGAATCATCCCACCCCATTTCAGTTAAAGTAGGCCTAGATGAGTGCTTAAGTGATTGAGCGAAAAAGCTTACTAGTAAATCGGGAAATCAGCGACAAGAAATTGGACACATCAAAAATACCCTACGTCCCAATAATTACTCACCAAAATTTATAGATAAATTCATAAGAAATCGAAAGAAAAATATTAGCAATAGTAGTAGTAGATGTTGTTAACAGTAATCCCACCACTAATGGTAATATTGGTGACAGAGTTAAGAGAGAATTCAAGGCATCTGCTGTGTTAGCATACAAGGAAGGCACCTCAGAAGCATTACGAAGAATTCTCAATAAGTCTGGGATTAAAGTGGCATTCAAACCGACAAACTTGCTTGGAAACAAGCTTTGTGGGTTAAAAGATCCTATCTATGTAATTAAACAAAATAATCTGGCTTACCAAATCCCTTGCAATGATTGTGAGGTCAGGTACATAGGTCAAAGCAGTCGACCAGGGTTGATTAGAATAACAGGGCACAAAAACTTGGCTAAATCAAGATTAGTAGATTCTAATAAGACAAGAAATCTAGAGAAAAACTCGGCTATAGCTCTGCATGCGATGACACAGAATCACACAGTAAGGTGGGATAGGGCGGCAGTGTTGAAAACTAACTTAGTTGGGTGGAGGGAGAGATTGACAGCCGAATCTTCGTTTACCAAATCAACACACGCCATCGAAATGATTCTGCATCTTTCTCAGATATATGGAAAATTTCACTACCCTTGTCATCACAGAGAAAGAGAAAAAATTAGGAATGTGTAAAGTCTGTCACGAAGTTGTGGAGTTACCTGATATGAATATGGACAATAAATTATATCCGAAACGTTATCCAGTAAATGCTACTGTTTCACTGTGTGATATTTATAATAAACTGACTAAGATGGAGTTACAATCGACCACAGTGCCCATGTTTTACTCTGATGTTGTAGCTCAGGTCTCTGCGTATCCAGTGAAACCTATTCCACTAACTTCTGCTTCCAGGACTTGGTGGTTCTTGGGATTCGACACAGTTGCCGTGACAAACAATCGAAGGTTTGGTCGAAAGTCTTCGGTTTACTTGCTTTTCATTTTTACTGCTCTCCCCTTTTATTGAAAGTCTTACTATCTCCATCGATTTAACTATATGCGCAATAAAATGCGGTGCCTCCGAAACAGGCAAGCCTTTGAAGCACTTCGGTTGCGGCCTCACCTCAGTCACTGACCACCTTATTCTCAGCGGTTACCGGGGCTAGAGCTATGAGATGCCAAAACGTGACGCAGAAGGCTAAGAAGGGTACGAACGCACTACTTGGGTGCAGGTCAACCGAACGGTTACGGCTCGTGACACTAGAACTTAGCCGGGCCGCTAATCCTCACACCACTGTGAGCGTCACTGCTCCAAGTCGAGTAAACGCGGGCCCCCTACTACACCTGGCACCTATTCCGACCTACCGATGAGAAGCACTAGGTGAAGACGTCAAGGAGCAAGACAGCAGCATTTGGGCAAATCTCTTGGACACGGCGATGGCTCCCACCATATGTTCCTATCATAACTAGAGGTGATGCGGCCTTTGACTGCAACAGCTGCAACAGGTGGGTGCACTGCTTGTGTGACAAGGAGGTACCACATCAGTAAATTACCTCTATGACGCGCCGCCCATGCACGTCGTTCTGGTACATTCCCCACAGTGCCGCTGGAGACCGCACTTAGCCTCAGGCCTACTTGGAGTAACTGATGAGTTTCTGGTTACCACTATAAAGCAGCTATCTGTTCAGGTCGCTACTTTGGAGGAGATTCACTTTCCAAAGGATTTCGGTAATGGCCCACCAAGGGTCAAAAACCTAAGCAGTTCTGAGCCGAACAAAACACTTCCTACACCGAGGGCAACAACATCCACCCCAAGCCCTGGAACCATATCAAAGACAGCAACCAGTGGACAAAATAACGAGCGGATTAGGGTAGAGAAAAGAGGTCGAATTATACATGAAAACGCACCCATAGGACCGGATGATGTTGGCGTCGCTGACAGACCTAGCTCTATCATTCCGCTTAACGTTCCTGTCAGTAATGGTAGCTTTCCGGAGCATAAGAAGACGTCTGACAGACAGCAGTGGGACTCCTTTCGTATCATTCTGTGCCCAGACACTATATCAGAGCTATAGCCGACTAGTGTCTGGGTGCAATACGTCGGAATCCGCCAAAGACCCGAAACCGTTTTGCAAGACCAAGTAGCTAGCAAGAAGAAATCAACTGGTTTATACAAGTTGGTTAGACAGATATTGGATATTCCGAATGCAAGGGACAGTAAAAGGAAAGCTTTCCATTTTTTGCCATCAGCCTCCTGAAGACGTCTCATTTTCTAAATTCAACCGCTAAAAGAGTTATCCATCTTATGAACCTTAGACGTAGCACTAATCTTGGAGAACACAAAAGGAAGCCAAGCCTGAAACAGTAGATTAGATATCAGGCATGATTTCTATTTCCTAAGGGTTGTCAAACCTTTGAATACTCTTCATGCAGACGTGATCCAGACCACTTCGTCCGAATCCTTCAAATGGTGACTGGATATTTATTGGACACGTGGCTGGGATCTGTCTATAAGTAATTGCATTTTCACACTTTGGCCACCACTTTTTCCTCTCCATTCACTTGTACGCAGGTTAACAACCACGTGAAGTAGTGATTACCGATTTCGAGACGCGGAAGCCAGTTAAGCCAGAGCCTATATTCCGTCGACAAAAAATGGAACCATCTCTTATCATTTCGAACTGAGGTTCAAATACTGAGTAAAACTTCTTCAAATAATCAGAGACCTAATAATATTTGGATTTTAGAGTTTCAGACACGGCTTTAGCCTTTTGTCAGACTCGTCTTACTGAACAATGTATGAATAACTGTTTTAATCCATCAAATGGTCTGTTGGACGTGTAGCGGCTTCTAGGTCGTCTGGGCTATGACTTGGTTTGGTGGTGCGTACAGTTGATGTCTTTCAGCTTTCAGGATAACTAAGGAATTCAAAGAATAGATTATTGACAGGCAACTAAGATTTTTTGGCTAATATGTATAATCCTGGAACGCCAAACTTCGCAGAAGCAAGTCACTCCGCAGATTCTTTGAGGAGCACAAACCTAATTGATTTTTCCCAGCCTTCATTTAAGGGCCAGCAACTGTATGACAGTAACCATGAAAATACACAGATTTCACAGGTGGGTGCTGTCTTGTATTTATATCATTCGAATACAGTGACGTTCCTAAGGCATAAGACAATTTTCTCCCACAATTTAGTGTCTGACTGGACCATTTCCCTATTTATAGTTGATCATGATTCTTCTGTATTTACCTATGCACTTCCTGTTGTCATTGCAAGATAGGGGGGTGCATAGGGAAGCTGATGTACGTATTTCCGCTGCAATCTGCCTGCGATCCGAAAAGAAGTACCCATGAACATAATACGTTCAAACATGTATTTCAACATGACCGCTTGGTTACAGGCGAAAAAGAGTCAAAACATGGTAGTACTCTAGGGAGTTGAACAGTACACTAGAATTTTATTTTACCGTTAACGTGTGTTCAACAAAGCCGTCATTCTGTTGAAAATAGTGCTGAATAATGACCCGCTTAAGCTACTCTAATCTCTTAACAAAGCCAAGGCTTACTTGAGATATATAGTTTTTGATTCCAGGAAAAACGTAGGTGCTTACTGGAGTGATAACCTTTAGCATATTCACCACGTTTGCTGTTACCGAACTCGTACCTAGGATTTAGGTGATAATTATGATTAATATATTTCAAGAGAGTAATATGATGCGTCTAAATATTTTTTTAAGAAGAAAGTACTACCGTATAAGTGAAACCATTTGCGCACTTCCAAACTCGTGGCTACAGCATTTTGTACGGCCGGCACGATTATTTCATGCAGTCATTTTAACCTGTCAAACTGCGAATTCTTAAATTGTGCACATCTCTGTTTAATAACCAGCTAAGCAGGCCATTTAGCATGTAAAAAAAAGTCAGCATATTTACGAGGAATTAATTCTCAACGTCACGTCTCGCTTTTCCTTTGAGTTTTGTAACTGTCCCTATTTTCCTTATTTTAAACATGTCGATTTGAGCGAACTGGTTGCGCCTATTGTTGCAACTAAGTACCAGACAGAGGCAGCTTCAAGGCTAGCTTTCAAACCTCCAGGTGGACATTGACTGCACTTACAAAACGCTGTGAAAACTGCTAGTGAAGCCACTGGTGGCTTCAGAGGATTTTCCGCCATCGTATACTGGGCCTGTACGAACTCTTCAAAACTTGATGCTTGTCACTATATTCCAGCAGATAACGAGTACAATGGTTTGCTTAAGTTCAGTGCTCGACGAATCGAGCCGCATTTGCATAAGGACAGCAAGGTTTTTTGGCCAGAATGCGTAAGACGGAAGTAACAGTTGCATCTGGTAACAGTCGAAGCTGTCCCAGTTCTTAACCACTGGGATGATGAAGACTGATGTGATTGTGGTGGTCTGTTAAGTGGATGGTACACTGGCCACCAACTTTCGTAGACCCCTGGGATGGGGGACGGAGCACTTCGGAATGCAAATCATCTGCGCTACCGGCCCCGAGACATAATCGGTGTATTATGCACTATGGTCAGGCAACACCAACCTACCAAACGAAGTGAACGTACATAAGGAGATTTGAGTACTAAAGCATCAAAAGATACCATCCAGGTAATTTACTCCTGGCTCTTTTCGGAGGTGACACTGGTCCGGAAACTGACGATATTGTTTCATAGGGTATGACCTACCGATAGCCTTCTGCTTACTCCCAAATGAAGTCAACATTACACTTATCTTCATAAAAGGCTTACATAACGTATGTAATAATCATCAGGGTATCACTTCGCAACTGGCGTCCAAGACGTTGGTTGCTATCATTTTTCACAGGCTCTTTAAAACGCATGAAGAACTGACCCACGAAAAAGGGGTCGGGTTTCTTCGAGGTTATGACTGCACTGATTATGTTGCCGTCCTCCACCAGATACTCAAGTACCACCGTACGTACTAAAGGCTGATAGTCGTTATATTGCGGGTGCTTTCAATTAGCTGGGCATGCATGCACTCTGGGATTGACTACTAAACAGCATCCTGCAAGCCCTACATTTCAACGCCTCAGATTGACCGAAAGCTCACAGCCATCCCTGTTTTTAGAAACCAGTGGTGGTACTAGTCAGGTCTGTCCAAGTTCACCATTTCTGTTTGACAACGATGACACTCTAGAAGCAGCCCTAGTGTGTGGTGACAGTGTGGGCCTGTTCCCAGGTAGAAAACTTTTCGAAATTGAGTATGCAGACGATATCGTTTCATTGTGTGACATCAAACAAGATACTGAAATCTCAGTCAGAAATCAGTATCCGTAAGTATTTTATGGGCTTCGTGGCGTCACAGTGCTCGGTGTCCTATACATCCTCAGCGGCGAATCATTGGAAGTTGTCGAAGGGTTTGTACACCTGATTTTGTTTTTAAGTGCTGGTGGTGTGAAGGATAAAATTTCTAACCGTATATCAAAAGCCAGAGCGGCATTAACCAATCTAGGTCACCTTTGATTTCGTTGTGACTCAAATTGTTGTAAAAGATCGCGTATGCAACGCTTTGGTGGGAGCACTTCTCTACATCTGCGTAATCTAGTCTCTAAACTGAGGATATCCAATGACTACGTATGAGATCACCACTGTTTATGTACGATGGTTAACGTCAGATGAAAGGTAATTCTGAGCTGTAGTAATGCATATTTGTGTTCGATGGAAATCATTTATTGAGCTATGTCTTTAAACCGCCAGCTTCGGTCGCTCACACACCTTTTATGGATATCATGGCAACGGTCCACAGCCCCTTCACTGGTGGAAGATATTGGTAGCTCATGCCCTTCACTATTTGGAAATCCTAGGACGAGCTGGAAGTACCTGCTACCTTAATGTTGTGGTCCGACTTGCATATCAATATGGCCTAACATGCTATAGTGATGAGACCATTTGTTCTTTAATGTCCCGTCAAATCCAAAGTGTCTGTTGGATTTCGAAAAAACAAAATGCAGTTACCGTTATAGCATAAATTTCTACACACTGTTGAGTGTCCGAGGATAATCGTTCTGCCTGCTGATCAGGATGTTGCAGTAGTAAAGTATTTCCCGCGGTTGACCAGAAGTTCATCCTCATGTTACCTTCTCTATCGGAATGAGCGTTAGAACGGTTGGCTCTAAAAACTGCACATCATCCTTCGCACTGGTACATGGGATATAGGCTTTCTAGTTGAATTTGAGACAGTAAAAGTTAAAACTACCGCTCTCATATAGATATCCCTTTGGCTCTGCGATCAAGCACCATAACCTATCTTCTAGGTACGTCGAGAAGTAACCTCTCATGATGAGGGTAGCTAGAGAAGTATCAGTCACCCGGAACTCTGTCACCACTTAAGTCCTCTCAAATCATTACCAGCCTACATTTTTGCCTTCTAATCTTTCTTTACATCTGTATTAATGCTCTTATGTCATCCTTGATTTCGCCCTGCTCCACTTCCCTTGTTAGCAATTTGAGGTTGCCAAACAGCATTCTTGGTGTCTTGAGTTGCCTTTCAAACTGAATATCAGAGCATACAGTTTTCACACCTTTCGTCAAATCGGACAAACTTTGCTAGTTGGAACTCAACTAGCATCGATTTGCGTTGTATTTTTGAGACACATGCAGGAACCAAGTGAAGTTATTCACCTAACTCAACCCAGACAAAATGGCGGGATCCACTCCTAGTTTATGAATTTCACAGTCTTGCAGATTCGATTTCTAAGGCAAAAGGTACATTGTTCAACTGGACTCCAGTTGACTGTTGCCTGTGTACTGTTTGACTGAATAGTGCAGTGAGGACTCAAAAGAATAGTGAAACTCAACTTTGTTTCTCTGTAATCTCTTTTTGCATACCCGCAGATTGCATTTTGGGTGAGTTGGAAGAGCCAGCTACGGTCTTACTAAAAACTAATCACAGATGTGGTCTTCATATTAAGCAACAGCAATGTTAAAGTGGGTAGGCTAAGCCAAGAAGAAAGGCGCGTAGGTGGCACTTTTGGAATTCCAGCCGAAAGAACGGATGATGGCAGTCACCTGCTACGATTGTGCTCAACCTACCGCCTATTTCTAGCCAACACAAAGTTCAGACATTGACGTGATGTCCATCAATCTCAATCCAACAAAAAACACAGACCATATTGTTATCAGTTATCACTAGAAAGGGTCGATTAAAAACTGCTGCTCTTTCTGTACACACTTTTAGATAGTAGTCACTTGTTGGTCTGACCTCAAATGTATCTGCATCTAAATAGACGTAGAAGAACCGTTCCGAGCGCAGCTCCATGATGAAAATAGTAAGGCCGTTTTCGTCGAGGAGCTAACTTGACAGTTATCAGAATGTAAAAAAACCACTCATCTTGAAGAACTCTGGTTCCATCTTCAATCTGCAGTAATAACAGCGCTAAGTACTGTAACGAACTCTCAAAAAGAGGTTAGCAAAGAAAAGTAGATCTTGACAACTTCTGAATTCATCGATGCGCATTAACCCATCCCTGTAGGATCCAAGCACAATGAAGAGCGAAAGCAACTCGAGCGTTGGCTGACATAGAGTCCACCCAATGACCATTTAGCAGTTGTGGGCAATGAAAACTAAAGAAATAGAAAAGGCAACGGTGATAAATTATAATAAACAGTTATTTAGACTGATCAAGGAAACGGATGAAAGATGGTTACTGAAACAGTAATGATGAGTCTGCGATATGCTTGTAGTGGAAACAATTGGAATAGTAGGTGAAATACTTCGAGAAACTGTTCAACTGGCCTCTAGTTACTATTACATTACTAACTATCCAGTTGGATCCTGCATGAAACGCTAAGATAAACCCTCCAACGCTTACAGAAGTTGATACTGCTGTAACTAAGAATGGCAGCGAGTACTGATGGGTTCTTATTGGAGTTATTTAAGGTCGGTGGTTGAGGATTGTTGATTAGATTACCTGATGTGTTAGCTACAGTATGGGAATAAAATATGATCCCGACGAGTGTCAACCACTAATTGACCCGATCTTCAAGAAAGGAGAGGAATCTGGTGTGACAAGAAATGTCTTGTATCTTAGGTTCTATAACCTTTGTATGTCTTAATGAAACTCAAGAACAAATCCGAGAAAATCAGGCACGTTTCATACGCGATCGTGAGTGTATCGACCAGATACTCACCCCTCCACCAGGTACTGAAACACGAGCACACTCACCGGCACATGGCAGTACCTGTATTTTTTGACCTAAAGGTGACTACTATTTCTGTCGACTGACAGGCCATACAGCAGTGTCTGCCACTGAAAGACATGCTAGGTAAATACATCTCCCTGTTGAAAATGGCGTTAGAGGTGTCATGTGAGTTGTGTACGTCGAGCGGTGCTGATCAAGGGTGTCTACTCCCGCCATTCTTTCTTTGTTTTCCCATAGATATGCTTTTGGTAGCCCCTCTCGCCTCCCCTGACTTAACAGGGGAAATCATGAGTAGACGTAGCGTACGCAGATGACATAGTCCCATTTCGTTAAGATGTTGACACGATACAGTTTTCTGAACACCTTGAGCGGCTATTTGAGAAAGCTTAAGATGCGTTTCTCATCACCCAAATGCAAACTGTTGCTTCAGGACCGGTTTGCATTGGTGCTCCCTTTAACAATTAAGAGTGAAGCAGTTGAGTGCGTTCACCAGTTCACTTACTTTGGAAGTCGGAACAACTCTTGTGGGTCAGTGACCGACAGAATCACGACATGGATACAGAATAGCTAGATTGGTTTCTTCCAACTTCTATAGTTTATAGTGCCAGCAAGACAACCGGTTGCATACTAAAGACCTTGTGTACTGTGATATTAACTCTTTTCTTCTTTATAGCTATTAAACATGGTCATTAAAGTTGGAAGGCATGAGAATATTTTAGGTGTTTGAGTACCATTAGCTTGGCAACATATACCGTGTGTCACGGATCCACTGTGTCAGTAACTTAGAAATTGGACGTGAAGGACTAAACACAAGAGGTTAGTATTTTGATGAGTTTGTTAACTTTCATCGACTTAGTTGGCTGATTAGGACATGTATTACACATGTCTAGTCACCATCTATGCAATCACGTAATGTTAACTGAAGTAGGTTTAAACTGGAAAAAGGTCAAAGACGGATAGACTGGAATGCGAAATCAATCTGTGAAGCTTTTGACTATTGATCTGGGCCGTGTCAAGAAATGTAGACTTCTCAGCTGTAGTTCACGTGGCAGCGGAAATAGGTGGTTGAAAATTAGGTTATACAGCTCGGAATTAATCTCATTGGTACAGATGTATCCACACATTATCTTCATCTTAATTACCATACCTAGTTTCATTATTATCTCTTTCTAGCAATAATACCTCTTGAGACCTCAAGTTTCACAGTAGGATTTTTACTGTGAAGCTCTTCGTCTGTTGTCCCTCTCTTTTCCAACCGACCTAGACTTGATTAAACCTAAAGAAATAAGTGTTCTAGGTGAAATAACTCGGATAGATTATTATCACAAGGTAATCTTATTATCAACTATTAGCAGCTGGGACCGGTATGGTTGTGTAAGGAGAGAGGGGAGATAATTGCTTTCTCTTCACAATCACTGCAGATCCAGACAGGCCTCTCAGTCGACGTAACTAATCGCTCTTAGTTGATGTAAGCCCTCACCGAATAAGTTAACGTGAACATGTGTTGCAAATGCTGAATCTACCTCGATCTGAGAACTAAATGTAGCCAGACTAAAATATATCGTGAGTTGACTATCTAGTTGTTGACCTGAAACATTTACGTTGCGCCACCAAAATCATCGACACAAAAGAAATTAATTATTGGAGACTACTGGTGATATGACTCGAAACTAGTTACAATGCTACAGATGCATATACTCTGTCGTCACATTGCCAAGCATTTTTACTAAACTTCACTTGCTTATTCAATTCTCCTTTCAAATACCTTTATCCACTTTAATATAGTTATTTTTTAACCACTTTGTTTGCATATTGCTCTGGTTTATGAGTTTAAACTGGTGCTAAAATGTAGGTTTGTAAGAAAGTTTTTCCCCTACTTTTTGTTAGGATGTGTACTACATGAAAAAATTGGAGTATTTGGTGAATTATCTCAACTGTCGACTTGAGAGTGTGATTATCCAGACCGTCGCTTTATGTTAAACATACTTAGTATAGGTTTTGTAGTTTGTTTTGGATTTTTCATTTCGAAATTGTTTTCACTAGTAGTCCCACTTTTAATACATACCTAACCTTAATTCCGCTAAATCCAGACAAATAGGCTAAAGTTCACGCAAAGCTTTGAGTATCTAAAAAATTGGGACTGTTTTAAGTTTAACTCTTTATTTACCTGTTTCAGACTAGTCAAAGAGTGGCATCTGGTACAGAAAGTGCATTTCAGTATCCAGTCCAACCTAATGCTATTGATGCTATGGAAGGGCACTACTTAAATGAATCCTTTCAGAACCCTAATTCGATGTCCGGTTCATTGAGTTTCACTCCAGGAAATCAGTACCATCAGCCTAACAGCTCGGTCCCACAGCTCATTTCAGCAACCGAAAATCCTAGTATAAATGGCCTCCCATCTACTCCGAATTTCACGGAATCAATGCAGAAACCTGTTTGGGGATCTTCGTCAGAAGGTAACGTTGCTTCCATATATGTCTTATATTTTTTGAGTACATATCTTAAACATGAAATGGAAACTGTGCAAAGTCATATGGACATTGATTTGCGACCAGAAGTATCATCTGATAAGTGGTATAATATTTTTTTTATTGTCAAGCATTCATCACTGACAGTCCTCTTATCAACAGCATGTTTCTCAGTCCTACTACGATATGAGATGCCGAATCACTAGTTATTTTTGTAGCTGGGCAACTGGGTAGTGTCATCCCTCGTACAGAAGGTGTAACCTATTGCACAAATTTGTAGAGGTTATTGAGTGGATTTTCACTCGATTTTTCGTCATATAATACTGCGTCGTATTCGAACTTCTGTTCATCTACTGAATTTAGAATAGGGTATGTGATACAAATTAAAAAACTTTTTCATTCTGTCTATTGAAGTGGGAAGTTTTCGCACAAAAGAATAGCTTTGTCAACTAGTTGTAGAATATCAAAGCGTAACAGAGTTTCATTGCTGTCATTTGGTTCGCGAGGTAACCATCTCTCAAGACAAGTCATAGCTCACTTCACTTTCAGTGTAGCTACTTGAATGCAGCAGTTAACCTGTACAATAGGTAGGGCTTGTGGTTCAGAACCGTGAGTTATATTTATACGTCCACTTCCTTATGTCACTTTAATATCTAGATATAATAATCTATGATATCTAAGCTAAAAAGTTAGCAACAAGTTGTATGTTTGTCTTTCGATGACTCACACTTAACAAATGTATCTAGGAGGTCTATAATTGTTTTCTGTAGTGTGAAATGTCGAATTGTTACTCCGTTTATATTGTTTCTGTAGGTCATCACCAGTATCAGCGTTCTGAGGTCAAGCCATATTTACAGTCATCCTTACCACCTTCAAATGCTCCATTACATTCTCCTCCGCCTGACAGGAATATTTACTCAAATTCTTTCACAACTGGTCAGTGTGGCCCGTCACTGAATAATCCCATACAGTCGCCTCGTAGCGAAGCTGATCATTATGACAAGGTTGCGCGAAGTAATCGTAATCTTCCACAGGGATACACTGGTTATTCTCAGCCGTCGAACCCAAGATATCAGTCACCCATATTATTAACACCGAGTAGTCACCCAACATCAAGTTTCTCGAACACACAAGCGCCTGCTGAGTTTGTCAACAGACAGCAACACCTTACACCTGTTGGCCCCCAGTTAAATAATCCCACTGCAATGCTGCTGCCTCCAAATCCCAAGGTGTTTGCAGTTAACCAACATGTGCCACCTAGTACATTGGCTAGTGATATGAGCTCTGCTAACATAAGTTCATCTGTTGGGTCACCTAATTTATATCCACCACCTGTCATGAATGAGATACATCCTATATCTACTTCCACTGGATCATCCGGAATAACTCCATCATTGCCTCCGGTCCCGACCCCAAACATGAATGCAACTTACCAAACTTATCCCCAACAAATGCCTCCTGGTCCAGGAAACATGTGGCGGTCTAATGTTCCTCGACATACAGGGTATGATCAGGCTACAGTTTTCCGAACTCCAGGGACAGCAACATCGGTTTCGGACTGGAATAATTTGAAAACACCAATCAACCTTCTACAAGAACGATGCCTGTTGCCATCAGATGGACCTGATTTACCACCCAAGCCTGTGTTGACTACTCCAGTAAGTATAATTTTGAAGATAATAGTCTGATCATATGAGAGAGATCCTTTTCTTTTTCTGGTCGTTTGCATTCACAAGCACTTGGCTAACCATTTCATTTGATCTGAAGGCAACATCTACTTTCATTTATAGAGAAGCTTTGTTGGAACTTCTATTTCCGAAGCGAGTACGGAACATATATCACATTGTTGCGTGCCCCGTTTAAACTTGCTGTTACTCTGAAAAATGGGAGGTTGTCACAAGTTGGTGTCATTTAAAGTTTCTGGAGGTTAATCTAACCTCACTTTCAATGATTTACCGGTAGAGGTAACTTTTCAAGCTTCTGTAAGATCAGATTGTGAATCATGGATCAACATATTGTACACAGGTTGCATAATATTGTTGGGCAAAGATGCGAACATCAAGCAAATATTAGAGGATATAAATGTTGTTATATATATATTTGTTAAATGCAAACTGCACTGATTTCTAACCTGATAAAAGAAAGTGTTTTTGACCACTTTACTTGTTTAGGAATTTGTACCAGTTCTGTTCTACTGTTAACTACTAAAAATTTCAACAGTTGCACAAAAAACTAGTCGATACGTGTATCAGCAAGAAGACTTCTGTTCACCCACTAAACGTTGGGTTCACAGCACTACGTCGTATCCCATCCCAATATACAGATGAAATTTATGTTCGTCAAAAGTAATCATTTGAGGTGACTGGGTTTTGTAAATTCAGTCATTAGTATCTTGCATACAATCAGACAAATAAGCGATCGATGTTGATTTAGATTTTTAATTTCAATCGAAGAAGATAGGTTGCAGTCTTGCACCGACTGCAATGACTAGGAAATGTTGAGGATGTCCAACAACTGCCATGTGTCAATATAGTATTGAGTGCGTCAGAATCGGGGTGGAGGAAGCCTTGAGAAAATTAAAAATTAGGCTGGTACAGCAAAATTAAAAACTGATAGTTTTCAGTCGTTTTTACCTAAATGTGTTCAGTTTGTTATTTCGGACATCTTATGATCTCGTCAAACGCTTCATGTTGCTGTGCAGTTAAATAATTATTTTAACCATTTAGAAGCTATCCAGCACCAGAGTGCTCAGTGGTATATGAAGTGCAGTGGAATTTTTGCTAAGTGACCCACAGAATTCATTCAGTTGTGCTTAATTTGTTCAGCATTTCTTTCGTTGGCTATATAAGAGTTTAATTTCAAGGTTTTATAAATATAGAAAAAGTTCACTAGAATTACTTTCACTGGTGTTATTAAATCAGGTCACTTTCAGTCATTCAAACGAACAGTAAGCAAGTTTGCTGCTTTAAAAATTCGCGTCTGGATGCAGACAAGACAATCGGCAGGTTTGGCTAAGACATGAAAGTTTCACTACCAATATGCTGTGCAATTTAGTATTCTGCGTATTTTATCGATTCAAATGTTCCATATGGTTTTTTTAACTAGGGATACTAACTAACATTGATGTCCAGGTCTGTCGAAGTAGATTCCTGTTAATTTTTGTTTTACTTTTGAGATGGAATAAATGACAGGCGAAAGAAATCCATTTTCGTTGTCTCTATTTACGGCTCAGCAAATTTCAACCAGGTTGCAACAAGTAGAGATTTATATCATAAAGTGAATTACTTACATCAGTCTGAATACGTTAATATCTTAATGCTTTTCGAGGATACGGATGCTGGAGCTGGATTTCTAGTCGTGACAAGAAGTCATCTGATTGGCTAATTGGGTTAATTGAATTTCACATTTTTGTGATATATTTTATAAGTGCACTTACTAGTGGATTAAGAGGTCGTTTTCAATCTAGTTTGCTTTGATAGTGCTTTTTATCAATAAACATGATAAGTTTACTTGCATCCACCTGTTTAAAGTGAACACTAGCAAAATGTCGAATAAGCTTACCACATTCTAAAGTGTAGTCAAGGTTCAAATACTTGCCTTAGGTGGCCGAATCCTGAAAACACCCTCGTCATGTATAGCTTATTACAGCATAATCCATTTAAGTTTAAACGTAATGTGTAAAAGTAGGATATCAAGTGGTACAACGGTAATGTCTCTGCTAGACGTTGATGCTATAAGTAGGATGCGATTTGTGCAAATCTATCTCCATTATCGGATTTGTAAGCAACATGTTCTCATTGACCAACCAATGTGGATCGTTGGGTCTAGATGCCCACCCTATGCAACAAGCCTTGCACTAGGGGGTTCTTTAATCAAACAGCAGTACATAAACAACGATCCCAATAGCTAAACACACTGACAACAATATCTGAGTTCGTGCATTTCGCAGATCAAAGTGGTTTCTTAACGCAGTATATCAAAATTAGCCGTTTTTCGACTCATCTGCTTGATTTTAGTTGGTTCTCATTTTCTCATAAACTCTTGTTACCGCCTTATCAAAAGCAATATTGATGGATGCATGAGTTTTTCCCTCAGTTGAATAATTTTTTCATAACTAAGTATTTCTTGCACCCGTGCAAATTACTCACTTATTAGGAATGTATCGTAAATTTACAAACTGTTCCAGCTTTGAAAGTCATATATTTATGATTTCATTTGATATTTTAGATAAATTGTGATCCAGACATAATGCGATGTACCCTGACAAATGTACCATCGAATTCAAAGCTATTGACTCGCTGTCGTTTACCTCTTGGTCTTGTTATGCATCCATTTCGTGACTTGACCAATCTGCATACTATCAATACGACAACTATAGTACGTTGTCGATCTTGTCGAACTTATATAAATCCATTCGTGCAATTTATGGATTCTGGCCGCCGTTGGAGGTGTCCTGTTTGCTTTTTAGCAAACACTGTTCCAGATGATTTTTACTATGATCCAGGGACACAAACCTATGGGGATCCTTCGAGAAGACCGGAAATTCGCTCTGCTACTGTAGAGTTTATTGCACCTTCGGAATATATGGTCCGACCTCCTCAACCAGCCACTTATCTTTTCTGTTTTGATGTTAGTCATAATGCTATCGCTACGGGTTATTTACAACTCGCTTGTCAACGTTTAGAAGCACTGATTGGTAGAATTCCAGGCGACTCCAGACGTCAAATAGCCTTTATGACCTTTAATTCTAGTGTACATTATTACAAACTTTGTGGTGAGTGATGTGAATATGTTCCTAAGATCAGTTGAAATAATTTCATAACCAATTTATGTCGATTTCCACTGTTTGTGGCGATGTAAAGTATAATGTGTACTGTGCTTATAACCGTCAACTTAGAAAATCGAATTTCGTTGGCTTCATCCAGAAATCGAAGCATACACATGAATCTGAATTTATTCTTGCAAACATTTTGTCTGTTCAGCACATAAATAGATTATAGTAACACACAATACGATAAAAATATTGGATACTCGCAACAGTTCCTAGTTCTCCAAAATCAACAACCGCCTAGTAAGCAGGGTACTACTGCAATACTCTTCCATTAAAAGAGATAACTCGATGCTTAGTTAGAAGACAAAAGATGAATAGACAGATGTATTCTAGCGAGAAACGTATGTCATATGATAACCTCAAGGAACCATTAATATAGGTGTTTATAAAATAGGGAGTGTCATACTTGTTTGGACAAACCTATAGACTTTTTCTATTCTTTTATTGCCTAAGCACGCAAAAGACATGAGAACATTGGTAACAATTTGGTAATGATGAATAATGGCTGGCAGCGGAATCCAGGCTGCGCATTTCGTGCTATTTGGGACTCATCAGCTGAGTGTACTTGCCTCCCAGTGAGTGTCGTTCCCGGCGGGATTCGAACTCGGAGCCAATCGCTTCAAACCCCAGAGCGTTACCCATTCGACCACCGAGCCACGATAGCCACTTCTTGTGCGACGGGTGTAGTTTTAATGTTATTGCTTGTATTATACCAAATAGGAAAAAATGTGCATCCTGGATTCCACTGCTAGCCACTATCCATTGCTACTATATAATTAAAAACAGGCAATATCGAGGCATCCGCGCAGGAGCTCATACCAATAGAGACCGATCAGTTCGATCCAGTTAACGACGGTATAATACAAACAATAACAATAGATAACAATGCCTTCTCACTGTAGAAAATCAAGCAATCCTGAGGTAGTTCCCATTTGTCTTATCATTGTAAAGCATAGCAACTTTCATCCCTTTCTCCACGAATATTTTGAAGCTCAATCCTTCATCATATTTTGATTTTTTGTTCATTTTGCATACACTTTTATTACTATGTTTACTTAAACAGCAATGCGCTGTCGTGCGAGTTAGTTTCACTACGATTATTTTATGATTGAGAACAACTGTACAACTTCTATTTACTTTTTTAACACTATAGGGGAAACTATGCGAATGTTAATTTGTCCTGATTTAGAAGACCTATTTCTACCCGATAATGAGGGTTTACTTAATCGAATTGAAGACTGTACTGAAGTACTACAGGAATTTCTTCTGCATTTACATGAGAACTTCGTTAACTCAAACGATACAGGAAATTGTCTTGGATCTGCACTTCAGGTAATCAGATATTTTATGTTCTTGTTCTGAAAAGTCACTGTGATAACAAGTGGACATTTTTGTAAGGGTAGTAGAGTATAATTCTTTATTAGATCGTTTATTTAGTATAACAGAGGTGTATTATTTACTAAATAATAACAATACCGTATTACTGTATGGTGTGTTAAATAAACAGTTTAGTATGAATTACATACATATCGATAAGTAGTAATGACTAATACCCGTCTTACAAAAGGTGGCTATTATGCCTCAGTGACCTAGTCGATAACGCTTTGACGTTTGATGTGGACACGGGGTTCGAGTCTCAGCGGGAAGAACATCACTCGCTGGCATGCAGGCACATCTGACTGACGAGTCCAAAATAGGACGAAACGCGTATCCTGGATTCCTCTGCTGGCCGCACCTAAGTAACTCTTGTCTGAAGGTAGATATTTTACCAGCACTTAAATTCTTGGAGAGCTCGCTATTGTGTATTTGATGGTTTCGAAGACCGTGTTGAAGCATGCTGAGAAAATGTGAAATCTATATTCACTCTTATATCAACTCAACTTTTATCAACTCAAAATAACGGTATACTTTAAGTATGCTTACTAGAAAAGTGTCGTAAACTAGAAATTTTCACTGTTAACATTATCCTATGAACGAATTCACGAACTGATCAAAATTGGTTTCTAGCTAACGACCCACTTTTCCCTTTTATTCATTTTAATGCTTCATAGTTAGGTAATAATAGTAGCACTATTTGTTTCTTAAAGCCTAGACATCTAACTATCTATTGGCTCCCCCTCTCGATTCTGTTGATTTTCTGTTTTGTTCCCGTGACATGTGGAAACCTAAACCTTTACACTTTTGTGTGCGGTCCCACACTACCTTGTCTGTTTACCTATTTGTTCATGTTTATTCTTGAAGCTGAAACACTGTAAGTAGAATGGAAGTATTTTAGTACGAACTATCAAGTTATCCTGTGTTTTTTTCCCTTGATGGTATTAATAACCAGTTAGTCCATATTGAATGGATGGTCGACTTATTGTCCTATCGGTTGCATGGGCTAACAGTAATCTGTTCAGTAGTCCATATATATTAGTATACATCAGCTGATATTTAAATATGCTGGTCCCATTGTATCTAAGTGACTAAGACAAATAGACATATCATGTGCCAAAAAAGTGATTTTTCATTGTATAAATAGCGTTAGTGTAGCACTTTAGAAAGAGGCTTTCAGCAACAGTTGGTTAATATAATATTACGTTTTCAGTTCTCAGCCTTTGCTCATACTGTGGAGTTTTGACGTATTGGTTTAGGGAGTTGGGTCATAAGTTCGAGCGCCGCTTCACTTATCGAGGTTCGAGCAACCAGGTAGTAGTATCATTAGTTCTCACACCAAAGGTGTGTGGCTCATCGTATACTGCATAAATGTGCACAAAGTTGCTCAGTAGATTTCAATTTCTCTACTCATATTGATAGTATCACTATTTTTACGATGATCACTGTTATGTTAGTGCACAGTTTTTTTCGATTAGATAATTATTAAAATCATTCACTTGTTTTGACAGATTTTGTTTCATGAAACATCGAAAATTATTGACCTAATCATTGATTGTGTAAACAAAATCACTAATCCGTTAATCGGCAAGTCAAAATACATTTCACACATTGTAATACTTTACCATTGGTTTAAAAAAACAAAATACCACTTACCATCATGCAAGATATTTAAAGTATTGGAATATTAGGTTATAAGAAGTCCATATTAGTTATATTCTTTCTCCTTTTTTTAAGGTTGAAACAAAATCATATAAATTTCACTTGGACCGAATTTAGCCTATTTAACAAGCGTAGTTAGCATGTAAGGCAAAAGCTTCCTATAACTACCTTAATTAGATTCACATCACTAAATTTGAGCTTCAAGGATGACATTTTATTCCATCTATATATATTGTGATAATCCTGATTGAATTACTTCATAGTGTATTGTCACCTACCCCTTTCAGTCTCTTCATATAGTGAGTGAATAATCTTATCTTCATAAGGGCCAGTGGTTATCATGTGTATACTGTGTTAGCTTATTATTACTAGCCTGGAGGTGTGTGCAAATGGAAAGGGAAGCTTGCCAAATGATTCTTATTCATGACACATTCGAAATCAGAGACATTTCCAGTAAGTAATTCATCATCGTTAAATATTCAAACTGCTACAGAGGCTGATCGCTAATAACTTGACTATCTACAACCACAATCTACACTTTCTCAGCTAATTTGATAATCATCATTTGTGGTGATTTTTATCGTAAAATTTAATCAAAAATCCTTTATAATCTTCCTTTTCATTTGATTTGATTTGATACTATTTGTGTATATGATTTCTTGTTTTTAGGCTGCACTGAAGCTCATTGGTCCAACAGGTGGTCGAATAAGTGTATTTAATACATGCCTTCCTAATGTTGGTGCAGGTGCTCTCAGTTTACGTGAAGAACCAAGCGATCGTAGTTCAGTTGATGTAAAACACTTAAATCTATCAACTGACTTCTATAAGACGTATGCTTTGGATTGTGCACATCAGCAGGTATCAGTGAAATAATAACATATTTATATGATATATGTGTTAAAGGTTTTGGATTTCGTTTTTTAGGCAAGTTGTAAGACTGTTCTTGCCCTATCATATTCAGTCATACAGATTAGGGCTTAACGGAATAAAGCTAACTTCTAATCATTGCTGAATGTGTTATAGTCTTTTCCGTCTATTTCAGACTCAGTGATCAAGTTGCATTCTTAATTTTCTCACAGGGTAGGATACAAACTTCTGTTTTCCTAGTGGCTGGCTGCTACCATGCTTATTGAACACACTACTGTTGTATGACTTCCCAGTATAAGTGAAATTTCTTACCAAATCGATAGTTTCCAGTCATCCTAATTGTTTTGCTTTTATGATTATTAGAATAGTTTGGTTTTCTGAGCTACTATTATTATAGACGGTATACTCCTGAAAATATATGCGTTGCTTATTGTCTACATCACAATTGCTTTATCGTACAAATTGCAGGTGGCAGTTGATATGTTTATTTTCAATTCCCAATACTGTGATATTACAACAATATCTGGAGCTAGCCGATTTTCAAGCGGTGTAATTCATCACTATCCAGACTTCTGTTATTCACCAAATGAGGATACAATTCATGAGAATGAACAATTGAGTAATGTTTCCAAGAGTTTGCCTATGGGATCGAATGACAGCAGTAAACATCAGTTTCCTGAGTGTATTGAAGTTGAAAAATTCCGTCGAGATTTCGATCGTTATTTAACCCGGAAAATCGGCTTCGAAGCTGTAATGCGCATTCGATGCACTCAAGGATTAAGTATTCAGGTTAGTATGGTCTATCTGGTCCGTTTGATTAGTTTTCAAAGCAATGGTTTTTGCATTTTTTTATTGCGTTATTTTTATTGCTTTGTTGGAAATTTATTGTTGACGAAAGGAATTGCCGAAACACTCGGTGAAAATTGAGTTAAGGCTGCGTTTCCAATTATTTTATCAAAAGTGAGATGGAAATTCTAATGAGAAGTCGTGACCGATGAGACCAACCAAGTCGGTTGTGAAGACACCTACTCAACGATGATATTTGATGGAGGCCGTGCTATATCGTGAGCTGACAATTAGGAAATATAGATCATTCGACTCCTACCCAGTGGCTCAATAGCAACGTGCTGGCCGTGGAACTTGAAGGTTCTGGGTTCAACTCCCCACGGGGTCATGGGGCTCACTGCTGCGGAGTTCATTTTTTAGTGCTGAACAACTCTAGTGCTCACAGATTCTAAACGATTCTCCAATTGATGTCAATCGGTGATGAATACCAACCGAAAACCATTCAGCTAGTCAGCGACTGTAAAAATAAAAAGGTATTCGTATATGAGGATATCGATTACTGCTATAAACCGTTTGGAAGTAACTCTTGTTTAGGATCATTTCACGTTCTTCCTTCCTTTGAAAGGAACTAAGGTCTACCTTTTCATTTTGACATTCAGGTAAATAAGTAAGGTTACCTGTCTTCCATTCGAATTCAATGATGTACCACCATAGATGCAATGTGTTGCACCCAAACACTTTGGCAGTGTCCTGTGACAGAGTTACCTTCCTGATTCGCATTCTATCAAGAACTTCTACAAAATTACATCCATCCTTGTTTACAGATCATAGTAATACATTGAAGCATAAGTTCTCCTAAAGTAGCCAACTAGTGCCTTGGAAATGGTTTTCCTAAGTCCCATTAACTTACGCTTCATTCATACCATTATAATGTCTAACACTTATGACCACCACTTTTTAATACCCTTATAAGCGTCGGCTTCTTAGTTTTGCACTCTTACTATTTTCATTCCTGCTGTAGACTTTCCATGGTTCATGCTTTGTGCGTTCCACTGATCTGATGTCTCTACCTAATGTTAGTCCTGATTCTGGTTACGCTGTTCAATTGGATTTATCTGAAAATTTAGAAAAATGTGCTACAGTATGCTGTCAGGTGAGTAATCTGAGAATGAATATAAACGTGGTTTCTATTTTCCACGTAAGCTTTTTCCTGTGTTTGCTGTTGTTTGCTCATTAGACATATTGTCCAGTGTATAGTCTAGTCAGGATTTCTTTTCATCTGAATTTCTTCTTTGCTTTTACGGATTGTAATGTATAATATTTCAGCATATCTGTAGCATATAAAAAATGAAAATTAGACGTTTGTTGGGGATACACTTTTGAGCACTAAGAGTTTTTGATTATCTTAATAGGATTACCTTTTTTAAGTGCAGCGAAATTCACAGGCATGTTGTGTATCTGCAATGAAAACTATAAATAAGGTTGTATTGTATCACAAATTGGTTGACGTTTAAGAAAAATACCAATTACTGGATTCAGATCATGTGACCCGTTAAATTTAAGTGTAAGGTTAGATTGTACAGAATTGCAACACTATTAATAATTCGGATGTGATCCTAACTAAATAAAAACCAGTTCACCTATTAGGAGTGTTTACTAACTTGTCTGTAGTCACAGCTTTTGGTGAATTTTAAGCATAGTTGTAACGGCGAAGGTGGTTATGTAGCGAAAATCGACTAAATAGTATGAAGAAAAACTGTACGTTACTTCATATAAAATCTCATGTGATAACTTTCGTCAGAAAGTGACTGATTGACGGATTGATTAGTTTTTGCCTCTCATTCCTTCCATATTAATACAAAACAAGTTATGCATGCTCTAAACTTGCTCAAAAATTACCATTTCTTTATTTACCGATTGATGTTTTAACTAGGACTTTTAACTCAATTTTATTGGTAATGTTTCAAATGCAGCCAGTTAAGTCGAAATTATTGCATGTTGTTATACTTCAGACTCTTCAAAATGTAAAGAAAAGCTGATTTACAAGTTATTCGAATTTCTCTCATTTGTGGATGTCCATTCTGCACTGGACATTCGGACATCTCCACACGTGTTTCAGATCGACTATCATTATGTTGCAGATCCTATAGTTACCTACGATTGGTTGAACAGGACTTTTGCACTGTAAATTATGTTAATGAGAGTTGTTAGTGGGAAAAAGTTTTTTTTAACATCCTGAGAGCCCTATAAAAGATAGCTCAGGTTACAGCAAGGGCATACAACTACCTTTCTCTCTTATTCTACACCAAACAGTAGGGTTAGATGGAGTTACTCCGTTTTAACATTCACATTTAAATTAGCCATCGATAATAATCTTGAAATAGATCAGAAACACTTACATGGTGCTGTGAATCTGCTACGAACAGAAAGATTTTTCGACTCTGTGTATGCAGTGGATATCGTCTTATTGTGTGTTAACATTTAGGCTACTATAAATCACGCATAACCAGTTAATGATCAGTCTCCATTAGTGTGGAATGTGCTTTTCACCGTTGAATTGCAAAATGCTTTTACAAGATTGGCAGGAGCATGTACTTGCACTCACCCTTAGTGATAAATCTTTAGGAGTAATCAAAAGGTTTGTGTAACTGGATTGTTATGCAAGAGCTCGTCAATTGTTGTTGATAAGATTTTTAACCACACGCTGATTTAAATCACCCTTGGAACCGACGTTAGGTTAGTCTGACTTTAAAAGATCAGATATCTAGTGCTTCCGTGCAGTTAGTTCTCCTGTGCCTTCATAAAGCGTGGCTATTGAATCCCTAAGATATCGAACGGTTCCGTCGTGAAAATTATCGTATAATTTATTAATTTTTGTTTGGTGTAGTTTTACCTCCAATATGAAATTTTGTAGTTCACATTTCTTCTTGCGTATGTATATGGATGTATGGTGGTTAATTCTTTCCATAGGCTGCTGTATTGTATACTTCATCCAAAGGTGATCGTCGTATTCGTGTGCATACCTTATGCTTACCAGTTGTACATACACCAACTGAAGTTTTTCAGGGAGCGGATCAAGGTGCTATCGCTTGTCTTTTGAGCAAAATGGCTGTGGATCGAACAATATCATCTGGACTTTCAAATGCTAGAGAAGCTTTAGCAAATGCCGTTGCTGATGCTTTGTCAGCATATGCTACAAACTCTGGTATTTCACCCAATTCCAATCCATCAGCCTACGGTTTACCTTGTCCACCGAACCTACGATTACTTCCTCTATATATCTGTGGTCTGCTTCGTTTCAAAGCTTTTAGGATTGGAATAATAACTCGTTTGGATGACAGATCAGCCGCTCTAGAGCGGATTAAATCTGCACCTCCTGACGATCTGCTAACTTTAATGTATCCAAAAATGTATGCTGTGCATCGTTTTGCTTCAAAACCTCTGTCTTCGCATGCTACCCTGGCTCAAAAAGCAGCTAGTCTTCGTTTGACTGACCGTAGTGACGAAGAACGTCCTTCTGATTGTGATGGAACCTCCTCTTCAGGTGAGAGTGATAGCAACCCAGAGGCTGAAAAACTGCCCTGTCAACTGCACCTGTCAGTTCAACATATATCACGTTCGGGTGTGTTTTTATTGGATACTGGTGAACTTTTATTGTTACTAGTTGGCCATGGTGAAGATGTTTCTCCGGGATCAAATACTGGTTCAGATATTTTGAGGCAACTTCTTGGTATTTCATCACCTAATGAACTTCCTGTACAGGGTGGTCCTTTCACATTACCCATAAATATATCTTCTGAAAAGCAAAGCGCATTGAAGGATGGTGATACTTCTGTTCCAGTCAGTCGTCGTCGGTTATCAGCTCTAATCACCCTTCTTCGAAGACGTCGACCAGTTAATAATGCTTTGGTTTGTATGCGTCATGATGCACCAGCCAGTCTCAGATCGTTATTCTTATCCTATATGATCGAGGACAAGACAGAATCGGCTCCATCTTATCAAGAATTCCTTCAAATGATTCAAAATTTAGTCAGGACATAAATTTCTAATTGGCGTATTTTTTTTCTTTCTTTCTCTTTAAGATTTGCCTAAACCACCGTGAATGTAAAATAGGAAGAAAGTCTGTTTGGTTTATTGTAGTCATTGTGCCTTTGATTAAGTGATAATTCTAAATTATACAAACATATGTGTACACTTCGTACGCTCTTAGCGCATTATTATGATTATGATTGTTGTAAAACAAATATGTATTTGGCTGAGTTGAAGTGATGGCCTTTATTAGATTTCCTTTACAAAATCATTACACTTCACTTTCTACTGTTATTTGACTAATTCTTCTAGTATCTATTTTTTCGTAACTCTCCTCAGTGAATCTTCGCTCCCTGAATTGATCCTTATACTAAAGGATAAAAATAGATCCTCATATTTATTTAATGTTTCATTTCTCTTTTGACTGAACACCTATATATTTTTTCTTCGAAAAATCAATCTGTGTATCACTACTTCTTATTCTTATCCCTATCTATCTGGAATGTTTAATTTATCGCTACTTAACTTTATGATGATAATAATGGTAACCAATTATTTGTTTTACAGCATGATTACGGGGGTCTAAGCCTTTTTTCTTCATAATTTCTTATTGCTTTTATTGCCTGTATGCGCACATGAACGTTACTATCTTTATGGCTGTTGTTTGCTCTGTCGCTCTCTTTGTCTATGCGTTTTCTTGTTCTGAGAAGATGCACCTCCATGTGTGGTGAGTTTGTACATGCATGCCTACACTCTCAATTGTATTGTTAGGGGCTTTGTGTTTTTTCATTATACTGAGAGTATTTGATTTGATTTATATATTCCTTATAATATTTATGGTTTTTTGCGCAGTTTTTCCTGTTAATCAGTATACATAATGAAGTAAAATTGTGATTAGGAGGGATTACTATTGAATATTGCTGTCTGGATTCACAATGGATTACATCTACTTGAATTTATAGTGTCAACTAACGTGTTATTTGGTGCTAATAGTCTAGCACATAGTTTTGTATACAATTGCTGAATCACATATATTTATCATCAAAATCACTGGCTAAATATATGTGAGATATCACAGAGCTTGTTAATGCAGGTTAGATGGTGTGGCAATCTAAGCATCAATGAGGTTACAGGCTTTGTGCTTATGGATTCAATTCAGATAGTTGTTTAAGTTAAGGAGATAAAGTTTTTTCCTCAGTTTGCATAATGCTGATTTTCAAACATTCAAACATACTTTTGCAGTGTAAAGTCCATACTTATATATATATATACTACATCACAGCTGATGATTGGTCTCTATTTTTGAGACTGAAAACGCCGGTAATTATTCATTTCGCTGAAATTGGCATGTCTTCATGCCATTTTGTGAAGTCAAAAGCTCTGAGCTAGGTTATAGACGTCCAAACCAAGGTGAAATTTGATGATTTGGGTAAATAATACTAGTTATTTTGACATTTTTATTTCCCAATGAATATAAAACAAAACAGGATTATTTTAACAATGCAAGAACAAAGATATCTGTAGAATAAAACGAACTCATTTTATTTCACGGCCTTTCATCAGCTACAACCGGCCTACAGTTGAAGTATTAGTAGTAATAATGGCACAACATACTTTAAATATGTAGAAATAAATGAAGATTTGAAATCCAGGATTAAAAATAAGGTAATGAGTGAGTCAAGGAAACACGGGATTAATAATCACAAACTTTTCTTAAAATCAATGGCAGTTTATATCTGATAAGATGGAAAATTCTGGAGCTGTGAGGTAGGGGGGGACAAGAAACAAACATTAGTGTTAAAGAGCTAGTAGGTTACGTCACTATATGAAAAAACTGAAAATCCCTAGGTGATCAGTAGTCAGTAAGTAAGTAATGAGATGATACAATCAGAAAGAAGAGAGACTATGTACAGACACATGCAAAAAATTATATAGTTACCAAGGTAAATAAGGGTTAAGTACAGTCTCTTTCTGAGTAAATAGGTCAAGTTGAAAATGTTTGATGGCGAGGGCTTCCTCAAGCCGTAATAAGCATGGTGTTCTTTGTTAAGTATCTTGAAAGTTTGAGAAACATCTATTTGATGTACTGTTTCCATCATATGCCTGGCGATCGCGCTGGTAAGGACCTTGCCACTTTTCAGACAGATTTCTGGGAATATACTCGAGTAGACGCCCTTCTCTCGGCCCGCCCTATGTACTGCCTTCCACAAGCACAGTTGAACTGATATACACAGTCGGAGGTTACGTGAGATGGGTATTTGTCAACTTTCGATTGTTATTGAGCATACTGCATTTTAAAGTGAGATTAGTCTGACAGCAGGGAGGTTTCTTCTCAGTACACCTTTTATTCTCCTGTCTATTCCAAATGTCTCATCACTTTTGAATACTAGACAAAAAAATAGTTGGATGGTTTGGTCTCTATAAATTCTTTTCGATGATGAGTTTCTTCGGATATGCATTCTATATAAGAGCCTTCTCAATGATACCAAATTCTTCTTATTTGTTTTTTGGGCACAACGTTTTTATTCTGGTGAAGAGCATCCTAACTAAACCACACGTATAGCTGACAGGACGGAATTTGAATTATTCGGATGAGCTTGGTTAAGGGTGTCGAACAACTTGGACGCATAATTCATGTTATCACAGATAGTGAAAGTATCATCGACATACCTCCAGTAATATAACGTTCCCTTGATTGCAGAGTTCAGATATGTTCATTCGAGATGAGCCATGAATAAATCAGTTAGGATAGATCCTAATGGTGAACCCTTAGTCAGTTTGTCAGTATAGTTGATTATTAAACTGGAACTGACCACCTTTTTACAAAGGTGGAGTAGCCCACCCCTAACTGAAATCAACTTATCATATATCAGCTTGGATATTGTAAATCTCAGTTCTATGTACCTTTGATAAAGCTATTAACACTAAGTAACCAGAGATCAGTTAAAGCAAACTTGTTTTGTTTAACATTCATAGGGAAATATAAATGATAAAGGTTGAGTAGCTTTATTGTGGGAGTTTGAGGGGAATTTGAATCGAATAAATGCTTAGTGTTAATGCTTTTTAATTAAAAAATCATCATAAAACGACGCTTTTTAATTTAGTGACACTTATTAAAAAATCGAAGTACTTGTCAATAGGCTGAGTGTAATATGGATGCGTAGTACTGGCTACATATATTTCTAAAAAGAAGTTATTAGTCAAAAGTTCGCGAATTTTTTCAGGTAAATTCAAAATCTATGTAATGAGAGTATGTACTCAAAATTGTGAAAGCCTATGAGGTTCAGTGGATGTGTAAACTTAACTACTATAAATTAATTTAAAGCAGGGTGTCGTAATCTAATTTCACACTATCCATGTGACTAATCTGGAAAACATGTTTTACTAAATTATGAACAACTACTGTAGTGCTAAAACTTAAGGTCACAAGTAAGAAATATTGTGATTCCATTTGCATAATCACAGAATATAAAAATTCACATTGGGTATATTGGAGTTAGACATGTAGGTGAATGGGATTGTTTTTATTTTGTCTAGTATAACACAAAGCTCTATATTTCAACAAAACATCATATTGATTTGTTAGTCACTGAATGTGGAGGTGGGAGCAGTATCAAGTGATGAAAAGAATAACTTAAACATTTATTCCAACCCTTCACAAGTGGGTTAACACTAAAAAATCAGTCGTAATAGTAATCGATAAAGAAAGCAGATATACGGAATCTATATGAGAACAATATCAAATCTAGGAACCTTTGAGATTTAAAGAGGCGAGTTACTTATTAATTCTTCATTTATCATGGCAGTCATAAGGGTTGTACAAGTATTCACTGTGAATAGATGTTAAAATCGAGGATATAGGGCCTGTACAACAACGGGGAATTACAAGTACCAAATCAACAACTGATACCCTTTTCTAAAGAGGTGGCTGTAGTGGACAACACTTCGGTGTCTGAAGCAGTCGGCACTAGGTTCGAGTGTCAGTGGGATGCAGATACAAACAGCTGACAAGTCCCAAATAGGACAGTCCACGTCCCTGATCCCACGGCTAGTCACCAAGACGAATATAACATCATAAATATCTGGCAGTGTCGAGGCATCCTCATGGGGACCCATCTGCCAACAGAAGTCGAGCATATCAACTCTATATAGCAACGAGAAATTACAAGTAACAAAGCAAAAAAGGTTAAAGTAATTCAATGGATCAATATGACCTCTATCATCTAGAAAAAAGTTTGAATTTTGTTCAGAAATTACAGTGAATACCTTGGTATTTCTAATATGCAATCAAGTAAAATGAACTTATTTCATCTGTTAACTACGGAGATAAATGCTGACGATCATGTTGGCCAAGTTAGCTGGTTGTACTTTACCTTCACTGAAGTATAAAAACAGTAAAATTCATGACATATCGAATGAATAAGAAATTGTATAGTAACATACAGGTGTACCACTACTGTACATTTCAAATTGAGGTACCCTTGAACTCATTTAATGGAAAGTTAAGCTTATTTTCTCATTCCTACGTGAAAGATTTAAGCCGTAGATTTCTTTCAGTGGTTCTCTATTCAATATTCTGGTTATTGGTACGGAAAACCTCATCAATACAGTCGTAATACCTATCCAGGTTGTTGATGAAATCTTACAGGGCTTGAATTTTAGTCTGACCAGAATAAAGTTAACTATGATTTGAATCCTTAACAATTTATCGATAGTATTTATTGCTGAGCAGTTATTCCTTAAGGTTAAGAAAAGGAATTCTAGGGGTAATCTCCGGATCCTACTTGCACGTTGTTGGATACTAGTGTAACTTCCGAAGATAGGTATTTCACGTCTAAGTGATAAGTTTTGTAGACCCATTGTGGTCAGTCCTTTCAGACACACTGAGGCATGCGTGCCTACACTCGTATTGTAGACATGTCAGTCCTTACTTAATTGTAATCGTTAGTGATTACGATCACATGATAAATTTAATGGACAGAGTTCAATCATACATTGGTTTTCCTGGTTACATTTGAACAAAAAAGTGTTTGCTGACCAAATTCAGTCTATGACAAAGGTCAATAAATAATAAAATAAATAATTGACATAATTTAACTTTGAGAAAAATCATGGCGAGCACTTGAAAACTTCACTTCATACCTACGGATAATCTTCACCTAATACTAGGTGATGATTGAAGGTGAGATGAAAATCTGGCCCGCGGCCGGATTTGAACGAGTGATCACCGGTTTATCGGCCCGGTGCTCTACCAGATTTTCATCTCACCTTCAATCATCACCCAGTATAAATACTAGTCTACCAAACCTACGGCTATCTCAGAAAGTCAGATGATAATCTTCACCTTGTCAAACTCTTTGCCTTGTTATCTAACGGATTATTGCGCAACTGTTTATTTCAGCTTTACCACTGTTGACGCAACTGTACCTTATTATCCAATAAATGACTGTTATATGCCAATAATATGTATAAATACGATTGTAAAGTGAGGTGATTGATAAAATAATACAGAAACGCTACTAACACATTTTGATACTTGAACTGGATACGAATGGCAACTGTTCTCCCTCAGACCTGATACTTCACTGAGCCATAAAAATCAGAGGGCAACGACTGACTTGTGACTGTAAGCAAGACGACTTTATTTGACAACAAACATTTATATACAGTTTCCCCTTAGAAAATGAAGCCATTTAGTCACAAGTTGAGTGCTTATTTTCATTGGTCACCTGAAGGACAAAGTTGTCCAATAAGGTTTCCCCAGCCCACACAGTAACATGAACCCAGTTTGAAATCCAAAACTTCTGCCGTAGTAGCTGGTGACTTAGAATGCTGATTTCAATTTAGTCA